GCACACACAAAGAATGTTCAGAAGAATTTTGTTCATGTAAATGGATACTGTAGAGTTGTTGATATTTTATGTACACAGCACTACATTTGTTGTTATTTATTTACACTGATACACTGGGACCACTGATTTATGTGCTTCTTTTTTCTTTTTTTTCCTTTTTGCTAGAAAATGAGAAGTAAAGATGCAGCAAAGAAGAATAAGTTAGTGAAATTTACATTTGCTCCATGACCTATCTAAGATAGCAATTTTCTTAGTGATAGTCATCTGCAAAAATTGGGGTTGTTAATTATTTATTTTTGGTCAGTTCTGGTAGCCAGATCAAATCTCAATTAATCAGTGGGACAACTTGCCTCTAAAAGTTGTGAACGCTCCTGCTCTGGAAGTTTTTAAGACGAGATTGGACCACCATTTGTCTGAAATGGAATAGGGTTTCCTACCTGAGCAGGGGGTTGGACTAGAAGACCTCCAAGGTCCCTTCCAGATCTATTCTATTCTATTCTATTCTATTCTATTCTATTCTATTCTATTCTATTCTATTCAGAATTCAAATGTAGAAACATCCACTGGGGGTTATGCAGGATGTACAGAAATTCAAGACAATAGTCATAATTAAAGTCCCACATGATTTTCACAGTCATGCATAATGCACATAATAAAGGGGTGGGGTTTTAGTCATGCAGTCAAGGCTGACTTTTTTTTTTTTAATGCCCCGAGACATTGCTGGATCTGAACATCTTTATCTGAGTTATCCCTCAGTAATTAGCAACATTGAGCTATCTCCCACACTAATTAGCTAAGTTCACTGAGAAATATTTTTTTCATCTCAACTTACTATTTCCAAATAAATCACTGGAGAACCCTAGATCCTACTTTGAAAATCAAAATAAATCCCTCATGATATTTTGTAAAAACTCTTATATCACTACTGGTTCATGTGTTCTAAACATCATATCCTAAAGATCCTTTTTTGTTACCATCAGCCTATCACTTGAGAGGAACATAGACACATATGGAGATGGCCTTCAATCTTCAGTATATCTAAATTGATAGTGGGGTTCTTCTGTTTGCAGGTAACAAAGATTGAAACTGGGATTGTTTCCATCCAAAGTAGGTATTCACTAGCAATAGCACTTAGATTTGTATACCACTTCACAGTGCTTTACAGCCCTCTCTAAGTGGTTTACCAAGTCAGCCTTTTGCCCCCAACAATCCGGGTCCTCATTTTACCGACCTTGGAAAGATAGAAGGCTGAGTCAACCTTGAGCCAGTGAGAATCGAACTGCTGAACTGCTGGCAGCTGGCAGTCAGCAGAAGTAGCCTGCATCACTGCATTCTAACCACTGCACCACCAGGACTCTAGGAATCATCTTTTCTATATTTTTTTCATTCATCCAACCCAGTGTTTCTCAACCTTGGCAACTTGAAGATGTCTGGACTTCAACTCCCGGAATTCCCATTTTTGGGAATTGAATCTATCCATCTTCTAGTTGTCAAGGCTGCGAAAGACTCATCTAACCTGACAAGTTTTAGATTTGTATCCATAATTGATTCATATGGTTCTATCTAATTCCACAATGCTATTCTATGCATTTACCCTTTAAAGCAGATTTTTTTTCTTTTCTTTTTACAAACCTGTAATCTCTTAATTCAGGATAGAGTCGGGGCAACTGAATGAAGCTGAGTGTTTACTGGCCAGATGCCTTCCAGACACCTATGTGGGGTTCACAGCAGGTATTTTCTCTTTGTGCCCTGAGAAAGAAACATTGGCCACTATCTAAGATTGAACTCTCAACCTTCCAAGTGGGAAGAGAGTGTCTTCACCGCTAAACCACCATGCCGCTTACCCTTTAAAGCAGAATAATAATAAAAACATCACCAAACTCCTGTTTTTAATTGCTTTGTCAGGTTAGGTACAAAAGAAGGTTTACCATCTATAGGACGCCTCAGATTAAGAGGAGAAGACTGCATGAAGAGGAAAAGGAATACATAAACGCGAAGCTATCAAACTATCATCTGATATTATGCCTGAACCCTGCCTGCATTTAATTGTGCTTCCTGACACCATTAAAGACATTTATCTGAAAGCATTCCTTTATGGTAATGAAGTTTTTATTGAGCATGATTAAGTTTTATAAAAATACCTGAAGATAAATTAAGAAGCGCAGAAGCCCAAAATGAAACATTTGGGTTTAATGCATTAGGAAGCATAATTGATTAAATTATCTCATTTGTAATAAAGTTTTACACAAGCTGTGCTGGGTACATATCATCTCCAATTCATTGTTCATTCTCTTCCAGAGAAAAACAATTATGCCCAGTTCTTGCAATCTTTCTTTTTCCTCCGATTCCCTTCTACAGCTGGTAAACATGGAAAGCTACTTCTCTGCTCAGTTTCCCTTGCCTCCCCCATGGAGAACGTCTGCCACGTGAGAAAGAGAGTTCTAAACCAGCGAAGATTATATATAAGTCTATTTAACACAACTGTTTTTTTTCTCAATTATCTTAATAATTAACTTTGATTTTGCCCGTCCGTGATGATTCATATGGCTTTAAATTTAATGCCCACTCAGTTCAAAAGCCTAGCAACAAGTTTTATTTATAAAACACACCTCTAATTGCCCAGTTCAGAATAACTAATTTAGTTCCCTGGGAGCTAAAGGAACTAAAATGAACCTCATCAGTTTAGCTGACCCTCTTAAGGATACAATCATGATGCTGAAGATAAGGAGAGGATAAACAAAGAACTTGCAATCCATTAGACAAACTGACAGGTTACGAGCTACCAAGTGTAGCTCCAAAAATATCTGAGACATGAAGAATATGTGCAAGTTTCCTTCCGCTCCTGGAGGAACATCATTGTTTTTATTGGGAAAGATCATTTTACCATGACTTTGCAATCCTAGTCTTGGATAACCCAAGTTTGAAGCTTTGTTGAGTCACTGCCCTCCCAAGAATCTCATCCTCCCATTTCAACCCTTCCTTATGTTATGCTATCCACATAATGCTCTCCAACAATCTTAAAAGTGGTCCAGATCTCTTAAAAATTGCTCATCCCTGGATTGGGATTGGGTTACCTCAGGGACTATGTCCACCCACTGTTATTTACCCAATAAGATGGGCATGCTCTGAGTTCAATAGGACTGGAGGCATGTCTTTTCTGTCATAGCTCCTATCCTTTAGAATAGGGGTCTCCAAACTTGACAGCTTTAAGACTTCTTGACTTCAACTCCCAGAATTCCCATGCTGACTGAAGAATTCTGGGAGTTGAAGTCCACAAGTCTTAAAGCTGCCAAGTTTGAAGATCCCTGCTTTAGAACATTCTTCCACCAGAGATTATCATGGCTATGACCCTGATGGCCTTTTGTAAAGGCTTGAAGACCTGCTTATCTGCCTGGGCTTGGGGTCCCAAGTCTATGATGGGCCCCTTTTCCAAGTTAATACCTATAGATTATAATTTTTCCCAGCTGCTATACATATTTAATCTTCTTTTCGGATTCTGATTGCAGTTTGGTTTTTCATTGATTTTACAATTGTTCATGCCCATAGTATTGTTTGAAATGGATGACCAAATAAATTGAATCAATCAACCCGCCAATCAATCAATGAATAGAAAATGAACAATATAAGAAGGGAACCAGAATAGTAATTTTCTTTCTCTCTATTTCTTGTTTGGATCTCTGCAAATTTTAGAAGGTTGATGCTTCCCCCACCACCACTCCAGAATTCTATTTTTTTGCAGAAACTGCACAAGGACACACACACACACACACATACACACACAAAACAAAATTGCAGAAATTTTGCAGAGTAACCATAACACCAACTTTTTCTTGACTCCTCTCTGCTTATATTAATTATTAACTAAAGCCAAATGCCTTAATAGGGTTGAAACAAAATCGTGAGCATTTTCAAACAGCCCTGTTTAACTGTTCTTCCCCTAGAACAAATTAAAATTCTGAATCTCTATTTATTTTTTTATTTCATTGTTTGGAATGCAAGGCTCCTCCCCCCTTCCCCTCCACAACTAAATTGTTAAAATATTGTATATCTCTTACATTTGGGGGTAACTTTCATTTCATTTGAAGAATTTGCACTGTGTGTTACCACATGCAGCTGAATACTGTTATTTCTTCCTCTGGTGCAGCTATGGCAACAGAAACATCTCCAAGATGTTTTCTGATTAGGGGACAGGAATTTAAAACATACGAAGAATGGTTGCAAGAACTGGAAATTTCTAGTCTAACGAAGAGAAGGATTATAGGTGACATGATAGCAGTCTTCCAATATTTAAGGGGTTATCACAAAGAAGATGGAGTCAATTTATTCTCCAAAGCACCTGAGGGCAGGACAAGAAGTAACTGATGGAAATTTATCAAGGAGAGAAGCAACCTAGAACTAAAGAGGAATTTCCTGACAGTGAGAACAATTAATCAGTGGAATGGCTTGCCTTCAGAAGTTGTGATGCTCCATCACTGAAGGCTTTTAAGAAGAGATTGGACAGCCGTTTGTCTGGAATGGTATAGGGTCTATGTTTGACCAGGGAGTTGGACTAGAAGACCTCCAAGGTCCCTTCCAACTTGGTTATTCTATTAAGGATTGTTTGAACTAAAAGGTTTCCACAAGACAGATTGCTGAATTTCAGATTTTTCTCCAACACTTTGCAATTCTTATCCCATGTTTGCTGAACAGGAGAAATGGATGGCCAAAGAGGCCATAGACTGATAGACAAGTAATAACCATTTCAACCATCTTGCAATAAGAAACTATACTCTACCATCACCCCTCAAAATAATTTGGAATGAGAATGCCTCTTTGGTAGGACAAAGCAACTTTGAAGAAATTAATAAGAAAACAAAATTATTGCACGCATTAGTGTTGTATCTTTTTTCAACCGAGCCATTTACAATTAGCCTGATGCTGACATTTTAATAAATATACAGTATATGTATATTTTTCAAAAACGGGGTCTTAGAAAACACATATACAAGAGAGAAACTTACTTTGGGGTTTTATTTCATGAAGAGGTTTTCTGTCTAAAAAAGAGGAAAGGGGAAAGAGGGATAGTGGGTAGAGGGTAGGGGGAGAGAAAGAGAAAGATGCACTTAATAAACAGCCAAAAAATATATTTATTTTCTAGATTAATTTCCATCCAGGTTTATAAGTGAAACATTTCCATTGTCTGCAAACAATCCCCATTTTAAGCAAAGCCTTCCTGCTTCCATTTATATAAGTATTCACTTGTATCTTGTAGATTGAATATATGTTAGGACTTCATTTTTATTTTGCTAGGGGTAAGGGAGGGGTTTTATTATTTTAGTCAGGGCTTTTTTTTGTCATAAAATGCCCAGAATGGAGTTCCGGCACCTTTTTTGGATGGAACCTTGTAGGGTAGGCAAGGCGGGTTGTATGACGTGTGTGAGTTCTGGCACCTTTTTTTTATTACAAAAAAGCACTGATTTTAATGAATTGGCTTTTTCGACAAAGTGATTGTATGAAAGGCTATAGATGTGGGGGTTAAGTCAGCACTACTTATTTTATGATCAGTGAGGTTTATACGTGACAGATTTCTACAGGATGTTTTATGTTTCTCCATATTTTCAATATTAGGATCTTATGATTTATCACTTTGTTGCTTGTATACACATTGAGAGCTTCTGCACTGGAGACAAATTCCTTATGTGTCCAATCACACTTGGCCAAAAAAGAATATTTTAATTATAATTCTATTCTAAAGGTAGGAAAAAAGAATGGATTAAAGGAGGCTTAATTTTAAATTATTCTCTATCTAGAAAACTGCTTTCAGTATTCAAGACTGTCTGAAAAAAATACCTGTGGAGATTCTCAATAATCCAGATCATAATTATCTCAAATGTGCTTTTTTTCTTCTTTTCAAAAAGCAACTGCACTGTTTTTTTTATTTGAGGAAGAAGAGGAAGACAATATGCTTCTGATCCAAGAAGCTTCATCAGTTATAACTGGATGGTGGGGGATGGAAGGAGATAGATATATAATTTTATCAGCACCACTTGCTGAAGAGGAACTAATTTTCAGGAGGAAAGCTTTTCCAAATATTGTTAATTCTGATAATTCTGAGAAGAATAAGGAAAGTTAACAAAGCCTACTTAAGGCAGGATGTCAGTCCCCACTAATGGAAAAATAAGCAGTCAACTGGAAAATGAGAAGCATAAGGAATTTCCAGTCTTGAACATTATTGCATAGACAGCCTTCTATGCTGCTTTTACAATAAAAGTAAAAAAAAAAAAAGATTGAGTTACTAACTCTGGAATATGAGAGTCAATTGGGGTTTCCAAATAAAGAAAATGCTGCATGCAGCAACCATATGCCTAAAGATACTGCATAATCATGATTTCTGCTCCATCCATCTGCCCAGCCCTGCGTAAGCAGACACACTACATAGGGGAATGAATATGTATGTGTGTGCGTGTACACCGTGGTGGTGCTGGTGGACAGGGAGGAGGGCAATGCATTGAAACAGCAAGCTTTTTGAAAGTACAGCTTCAGGTTTAACTCTTCAGCACTTACCAATCCCTATTTAGCAGAAGAAACTTCCAGACTCAGCATAGTTTTTTTAAAAAAAAACTTTATTGAAAATTTAGTGTTATATCTATGCTGAAGATTTTATTTCCATTCCCTAATTTTGTTAAGACAGAAATCTAAACAAATCTTTTGCATGTGTGTGTGGGAGTGAGAATTCACAGATGCCAGGTGCAAGTAACCAGGTCAAAGAGACCATCTACCTTAAGATTGAACAGTTCTCTTTCAACAGAGAGGACGAATATGACACCACCGATCTCCTGTTTACAACACAGTCCTTTTGGCAGTTCCAAGAAGGTTCCACACCCATTTGCACTATTTGGGTGACCCTGAGGGCACAGATAAGCCTCAACAACTCTCAGAAAGAGTGCTAAGGACCAGATGACTGCAAGGAATACAAATCCTTCCATTCCACACCATTCAGTCAGAACTGAAGATGCTTCTCAGCAAAACATCTTCACAGAAAAAAACAAAGTCCAGTTGCCTTTTGAAAAAGCACCTTTGGGACAACTATGACCTGGATGACTGAGAATTTCCACAGACATTAAGCAACCAGAATCACTCATGAAAATTCTCAAGCAGAAACGTCATTGTTAGTGACCTACGTTACAAGAATCTCACCAGACTGGCTGCATTACCTCGGGAATGGTCAGATAAGTCTCAGGGATTCTGGATCTATCAGTCCTATGCCTCTTTCTCCAGTGCAAGGACGTTAAGCTCTTCCCCTTCCTAAGACCTCCCTCCAGTCTGGCTAGATCAGGGGTAGTCAACCTTGCCTCTTTGATGACTCATGGGCTTCAGCTCCCAGAATTCCTAAGCCAGAATAACTATCTTGGGAATTGAAGTCCATGAGTCATAAAAGAGCCAAGGTTGCCTACCCCTGGATTCTGCCACAATGGATCTCTTTCTCCCATCTTTTTCTGGTAATGGACTATGGGCTACTCCCTTGCCTGACTAAAATATGAAAAGCACATGCCAGGTTTACATAAGAACATTGTCTAATAGGAATCTCTTTTCTCCTTACCTTGCCAGTCTCAACACTCACAGTGCTATAATCAAGTAAATGAATGCTGTTTCCTCATGCTGGTTTACACAAAGGCTTCTCTGTCACTCAGTAATTGCTGCTCAAATCTATAAACTAGTCCAAGGAATCATACATAATGCATGGCAGATAATTAGCTGGCAGATTCTTGAGGGCAGAGCTACACATTACAAGCCAACCTTGATGAACATTTTCTTTGAGAGAAACATAGGTTCAAGGGATGCTTCATCAGCAAAGCTACGAAAGGGTATCTGAGTTTCTAAAAGTTATTTATTGAAAAAAATAGTTTTTCGGTTAATTTATTTGAAGTGAACTCTAAATATAAGCATAAGCTCTTCATATATCTTATAGGCTATCATATATCTATTAATGGAAGTACGTTGCTACAAATTTTAAAAACTAAACCACAGCAAATCATTTAAATCACCATGGCAAGTGACATAGATGAGCTGATACTTTGCTAAATATATAATTGCTGTATAGATATATATGAAAAAAAATACTCCAATTATGAACCAATCATTCAGATAGTTATATTCTTCCTTATTACCCTTAACTATTTATGTTTATTCTGAAATAGTTGGAGCCAATAATATTCAGTATGTTGTGCAATGAATTAATATATTCATATTTGCTATTCACTTTAGTCTTTCAACTACTTCTCTGTCATTGTGTATTTTTTTTAATGTAAACACGTGACAAGCAGAAATGTAGCAAATCTCTATAGAGTGAGATGCACATATCCAAATGGCCATTTTATACAGAAAAAAAAGGCAACTCTACTAATGACCAACAGTCTGATTTCCTTCAGTAAGTTCTACAAGTCAACCATGGCCTTCCAAAAATTCTTAAATTTTACATGAGATTCCAATTGATCAGCCCTTTCTAGAACATATAAACACTTGAGCAATAACTTCAAAGTCATGTATACTATATATGCACAATCTTTTCTGATAAGTAACTTTGTAAAACCTACCAAGCTTAACCAGAGCTGGTAGAAGCTGGTCTACGGTACTGAGGTATACAAATTGTTAAAATACTTTTTAGTATGATAGAGAATTTTGCATCTAGCCAGCCATAGCCAAGATTTAGTACATTTATGTGATGTAATATTCTCTTGGGCAGCAACATCATCAATCCTTTGCTTGACAATTTTCTTAGTATCTGGGCCTGCTTGTGCTAGAAATTGGATTGGAATTCCACATTGTAAGGTGGTTTTGAACATTTGGGAAGCCAAAGTACATTCAGATGTGTGCAAAGTTGGACAGGTGCAAAGTTCTCAAATAGTTATGCTTGACAAGGCACACTAGAGAAAGCGGGCAGCTTGGATTCAAGACCCAAGCACCACACGACAGGGTGATCTCCCTTTACTTGACTCAGCTCCTACCAACCTAGCAGTTTGAAAGCATGCAAATGCGAGTAGATGAATAGGTACCACTTCAGTGGTAAGTTAACAGTGCTCCATGATATCATGCTGGCCACATGACTGCAGAGATGTCTTTGGACAGCACTGGCTCAATGGCCTTGAAATGGAGATGAGCACCACCCCTTATAGTTGGCAACAACTACCTGGTGCAGCAGGGATCATCATTAGCAACAAAGATGATCAGGGGACTGGAGGCTAAAACATATAAAGAATGGTTGCTGGAATTGGGTATGTCTAGTTTAACGAAGAGAAGGACGAGGGGGGACATGATAGCAGTGTTCCAATATCTTAGGGGTTGCCCCAGAGAAGAGGGAGTCAAGCTATTCTCCAAGGCGCCTGAAGGCAGGACAAGAAGCAATGGATGGAAATTGATCAAGGAGAGAAGCAACCTAGAACTAAGGAGAAACTTCCTGACAGTTCCTGCATCATCTTACTCAATGTTGACTAAGAGATACTTAGATTAAAAATATGATAAAAGTGTTTCTAGAACTGAGAAAAGGACATCGCATAGGTCATTCATAGTTCCTTGTCTTTCAGAATCTCTTCCCAGATGACAGTATAAAAAAAGGGAGACAGAGTGTGAATTTCAAACATGGAAGGGTTAGTAGAGCTTTCACATTAGTTGCCTGTGCAAAATCCACTCTCTGGAGACACAAGAAACACATGTTGCAGCTGCCAGGAGTTTCATCGATCAGTTACTTCACCATTAAATTTAATTATGGGGAGAAGTTCAAGAGGGCATATAACTGTTTGGATAACTGTACTGTTGTGTGCTGTTCTCTCTCTCTCTCTCCCTCTCTCCCCTCTCTCTCTCTGAGAATATATATGTGCGGGTGTGTCTGTCTGTATGTGCATGCATGCATATAAATATATGTTTGTGTATCTATATGCGTTTGTGTATGTGTGCATATCCGGCTTTTGACAGGATGGCAAACTAGAAACAGGATCTCAAAAGCCCCAAGTTGTCATCATCTTTTTGTTGTGGAGCACTTTATCTTTAGCTGGGATCC